TACAATTTGACATGCACACACCGCAAGCAGGCTCTGTATCCTTGTCCTACACAAAGGTCCCAACCAGTTAGGGATCACCTACTGAATGCACTCACAGAGGTGTGAAGCCAGAAAAGAGAGCCCACGACCTTCCAGATGCTGTTGGACTCTAACTCCCATCAGACCCAGTCAACAATTGCCAATAGTCAGGGACAATGAGAGTTGGAGTCCAACAATTCATGGAGAGTCACAAGTTCTCTCCCCAACTCTCAACACACGTTATGTGTAGGGCCTGCTATCCACAGCTGCAGTCTTTTGCACACTAACACTGGAAGTAAATTCTACTGAAATCAGCAGATGGGCCGGGGGGAGGGACACATACACAAAAGGAAGGACAGCGAATCTGATGTCTCCGCTAAACATTAGAATGGAAGTCATGTTATCAAAATCCTTGGCAGGGAGGAAGCAGTACAAGGAAAATCCTTTTGCAAAGAAATTATCCAATTTTGGCTGTTACAAGGTCTGCTGATTTGAGAGATTTGGGAAGGGAGAGAACAGGCAGAGAAACATATTCTAGATGAGAAAGGGTGGTTTATCAAGTCTCCTTTGTTTCAATAGTGGGGCAGGGGTCTGATGCCCCAAAATGGTCCTACAGATCTAGCACCCAGTGAGTAGCACGTGTAGCATAAAATGTGGTGTGTTTCCCCCCTTCTCACAGGAGGATGGAAGGTTCAGAGAGAACCAGGCTGAGGCAGCAAAGGGTTGTTGGCAGGAACAAACAGGGAGTTGCATCTCAGTGGCAAAGCTCTGCATGGAGGATGGAGAGAGCTGTGTGCATGTAAACATAGAAACAAGTCTAAAGTAACATTTGCATCCATTGCTTGTCCTTCTTTCCCTTCTGGCTCCCCACATGTCGCTGGAATGTGCCCCCCCCAAAGGAATGTGGCCCTTGGGTTTAAAAAGTTTCCCCACCCTGACATAGATTATTTAACATTACTGTTGCACACTTCTCCAGGCTATTTTACTTCTACTACTGCAAACTCCTCCTTAAAAGGCGGCTAGTCTTCATTGCGCCAGGCTTCCTGCACATTCCCAGCAGCACAGGCAGTGCTTCCTGTGTATGAGTTTGTTCTTTAACGATCCTAAACAGCACTTCATCCAAATTGACCCCAGGGTGCTGTGTAATACTAATAACAATAATCAATTTACAACAGTGGAATATAAATCTTGTTTAAAACAAGTAAGAAGCTTACAATATCCCTGCTGGTGCAGGCCAAAGGGGGCCCATGTGGTCAGAGGCAGTAATACTTCTGATCAACTGCAGGGGAGACTTGCTCTTCTGCTCAGGTCCTGCTTGCAGTTTTCCTACTGAAGCATCTGGTTAGTCACTGGGAGGACAGGATGCCAGACTAGATGGGCCATTGGCCTGATCCAGCAGGCATTTCTTATGTTCTTATGGCCAGTCATGACACCCAGAAGCTGGACTTGAAGGCAGCAGTTCTCGCTAGTTGTTTGTCTCTGGCATCTAAAGTAGTAAACTGCTTCTAAGCCTGGAGGTTATGTTACAATTGTGTATTGAAGGTGCTGGAGGCTTGCCCATTTGGGTGAAAAGGGCACTGCCCCACCAACCTTTCCCCACTTGCCTGTCTTCTTACTCGCAAGGAGTCCAGCGGGTGCCCCTGGGTGTCAGCTTCTTCCTCCTTAGTCTCAGTGTCGCCCCTTGTAGAAGGGGTGGGAGACAAAACTAGAATTAGTTGGCTCCACTTCTAATTGGCTCTGGCTCTGCCTACAGCTTGTCTTCTGCCTACTATCATCAAGAGCCACTGTGGTGTAGTGGTTAGAGCAGTGTTTCCCAACCTTGTGCCTCCAGCTGTTTTTGGACTACAATTCCCATCATCCCTTGCCACTGGTCTTGCTAGTCAGGGATGAAACAGCTGGAGGCACAAGGTTGGGAAACACTGGGTTAGAGCACCAGACTAATCCCCACCCGGCCATGAAGTTCACTGGGAGACACTGAGCCACTCACTACCTCTCTTAGCCTAACCTACCTCACAGGGTTGTTGTGGGGATTAAAATGAAGAGTTGGAGAGAACCATGTACATGCAAATGCAGTCAATCAATCAATCAATCAATCAATCAATACCATTTCTTGTAACAACAGAGTGCCTCTGGGCTCATAAAGGAACATGTGAGTTTTCTATAGGCGCTTTGGAGAGGGGGGGTGCAAGGTGGGGAGTGTCATTCCCCCTCTCCCCCAGCCTGTTCATCCATTTGCCTGCCTTGTGTCTCAGCCTCTGAGTCAGAGAGAAAGAGAGTGACATTCTGTCTGTAAATAAATAAACTAAATAATTCAAGGAGGATTTTGCCAACAGCCAGCAACACAGGTTCCAAGAGGGTCCCTGGGGAAGGTTGCGTGTGTGTGCAGGAGGGTGAAGCTGGGAGTGAATGTACAGAGCCTGCCATCCCGAAACTCCAGCGAGAGACCTGTGCACGCCTGCTAATCTCGCACAAACAGAGGTGAGGGTTGCCAGGGCGGATGATGGGCTCCCAGCCACCCAACTCCACAGTGTTTCAGAGAGAGCACCTGTTCCAAAGACTGCTGCTAGCCATGCACCTGCGTCCTCCACCCCTATCCTGGCAGCAGTGGATGACCGGATGCCACTCAACTTGGCAGCATAGGGAAGGGGGTGACGGTTTGAAGAGGACAGCCCAGAGCTCAGCAGCAGAACATCTGTTTTGCATGCAGAAGGTCCCAGGTTCAATCCCCAAGAGCACCTCCAGGTGGGGCTGGGAAAGACTCCCTGCCTGAAAGCTCTGGAGAGCAGCTGGGCTAGATGGACCCATGTCTGAGTTATGCTAAGTTCTCTTTTAAAAACCAGTCTTTTCTTCAGAGCCACAAGGTCTGTGATCTTAGAATTGTAGAGTTGGGAGGGACCCTGAGGATCATCTAGTCCAACCCCCCCTGCAATGCAATATTGCTTTATTTTTAGGGAAAGAGCCGTAGCTCAGTGGCTGGGCATCTTGCCTTGCATGCGGAAGGTCCCAGGCTCAGTCTCCAGGCAGGAGTTGGAGACACAACCATTGCCTGAAACCCTGTAGGGCTACTGCCAGTCAGTGTAGGCAATCCTGAACTAGATGGTCCAATGGTCTGGCTCTGAACAAGACAGCTTCTTTTGTTCACAGAGAGCATCCATAGCTCAGTTTTAGAGCATCTGTCTGGGAAGCAAAAAGTCCCAGTTTAATCCCTGGCATGGGCTGGGAAACTCTTCCTGGTTGAAACCCCTGGAGAGCTGCCACTGGTCAGTATAGACAGTACTGAGCTTGATGGGGCCAATGGCTTGGCCCAATAAAAACCACTTTCCTATGTTTCTGTTGAAATCAGCCTTTAATTCAGCAACCTAAAACCTAGAACATGATTTCATTTGATGGGATGGGCTGCTGTATAGTGGTAGGACACCTGCTTCTGCATGCAGAAGGCTCCAAGTTCAATTCCCAGCACCTCCAGGTATGTCTGGAAATGCCCACTGCCCTGAAATCCTGGGGAGCTGCTGCCGTTCTGTGTAGACAGTACTGGTGGTAGATGGAACCAATGGTCTGGCAGTTACCTATGATCCTGTACAATTGTATTTAAAACTGTGAGGACTATAATCTTTACTTTTAGGGAAAGGGGCTTAGCCCAGTTGTAGACTACCTGCTCTGCAGGTGAAAGATCTCAGGTTCAATCCCTGGCATCTCTAGGTAGGGCTGGGGGGAAACTCTGTGGGAGCAGCTACCCATCAGTATAGCAGATGAACTCACTATAAGGCAGTTTATTGTGTTTTTGTTACTGGCAAGGGCTGTAGCTCAATAGCACAGCATGTCCTCCATGCAGAAGGTACCTGGTTCAACCCACAGCATCTTCAGGTAGGGTTGGTATGAGACTCCCTGTCTGAGACCCCTAGAGAGCAGCTGATCCTGAGCTAACTGGACCAGTGGTCTGTCTCAGTATAAAACACCTTCCTATATCTCTATTTAATTCAGCTCTTGATTCAAAATTATGAGGACTAGCATCTTGCTTTGCTTTTCATGGAAAGCTCACAGCTCAGTGGTAAAGCAACTGCTTTGCATGCAGAAGGTCCCAGTTTCCGTCCCTGGCATCTCCAGGTTGAATTGGGAAAGACTCCCTGCCTGAAGTCCTGGAGAGCTGCTGCCAGTCAGTGTGGACAGTACTGAGCTAACTGGACCAATGATCTGACATAAGACATCCCCTTATGTCCATACTGAATCCCAGAGACTAGGATCCTATTTGTATTTTTAATGGAAGGGCCTTGCTTGGCGACAGAACATCTGCTTTGCATGCAGAAAGTCCCAGGTTTGATCCCTGGCATCTCCAGGTAGGGCTGGGAGAGGCTCCCCATCTAAAACCCATGGAGAGCTGGTCCTGAGCTAGATCAGCCAGTGGGTTGACTGGCAGCTAAGAGGGAAACCACCTCACATGGCTGAATGGGCAAAAGTGTACCATCCGCGTGTCCCCAAATACTTCTACATCTTTTTAATTTTGTGCAAAGATACTGCAGTCACATTGCAGGACTGGGCACAGGAAGGGGAGAGGAGCATCAACAGGAGGATAAAAAAGTTTTTGGGTGGCTGGTTTTCTAAGAAACAGAGAGAAAGCAGTGCATCCTGTATCCTGTCCAATCCAAAGCCTCCATCCTTTTAATCTAGAGTGACTCTGGATGGAGATGGTTACATCCTCAAGTGCAGAGGAATATTAATATAGCTTGTGTACTGTTGGGAAGGGATCAGATCCTCTTATTTAGCCCCATATTAACCACCTGATTGTAAGTCTAAATGGGGGTAACTAATCCAAATTAAACATCCAATTGTGCCCCCCTCCAATTTCCTTTTGTACATCTCTCTCTCTCCATCGATACCAGTTCCTCTCTCCTTCACTCAGGGTTTATCCTCCTACCCCCGTTCTTCTATTCCTTGCCTCTCTTAGACCACCATCCTCACTTAATTTTTTTTTTTTAAATGCTTACCTGGGATTTCTCCTGCGGACCGTCTTCCAGCTGAGAGGCTCCCCCCACGTTTTTCCATCGATCGTTGACCATCTTCTGGATAGGGTGGTGAAAAGACTGGTGGAGATAAAACACAGATCCCACAAACGCAACTGAGGGTCGCCCCGGCGATGCCGCAACTCCAAAGTGGTACCCAAGGGGGTGTGATGGAGAGAGTCTCTCTCCCACCACCCCCACCCCGCCCACCAAAAAGAGTTCCAAACGAGAAGCAGGAAGAAGACAGGCAAAGGATTGCTTCCCAAGCGCTGGGAAGAGAAAAGGGCTGGATAGGAAAACGCACAGAGCAATTTTGCCTCCTGGTGGGGTCTTGAGGTTCCTTCCTCTAGCTTAGCAGATCCTTTTACCTGCGCTCGCTCGCTCGCTCTCCCTCCCTCCCTCCTCCCTCGCTCTCTTTCTGCCAGGATCTCAGGAAGATTTGGAGCGGGGACGGGGAGGGACCTGCCGCATCTGCAAGAAACTGAGGGGGAATCTCTCTCTCTGCGTTTCCAGGCAATCCCCTCTTCTTTCTCTTTTTGGCTAGACAAAACAAGCCCACTTTTGCAGGAAGGATGTGCGTGCGTGGCGGGGGGGTGGTGGTGGTGGTAATGAAGGGCTGCTTGAGGGAGGAAAGAAGGAAGGAAGGAAGGAAGGAAGGGGAGGCGATGGTGATGACCCACCTAGAGAAAACTTCCCCTCTTGGGAATGCTGATGGTGGGGCGCGCGCGCGTGCGTATGTTGAGGGGTGGGAGCGGGTACTGAAGCTGTCTGGCCGAAGCTCGCGGCACTTCTGCCGCTTAGGGAAAGCCGAAGCAGGCAGCGCGGCGGGATGAGGTGTGGGGGTGCCAAGACGCGAGGTTCCTCCGCGCGCGCGCGTCAGGCTGGCAGGAGTTTCTTGCGCGTGTGAACTTGGAGACGCGTAGCGAGGCGATCGCCTTCCGCACCTCCGCGCGTTATACTAACTGTTAAGCTACGATACTACTACTAGTAGCATAGTATTGTATAGCTTAGTGAAACTATACTACTATTACTAGTATACATACTAGTATTGCTGTTACTAATACTATCGATATCACAGATGCTACTATTACTACGAATACTGCTGAAAGTAATGTTATTACTAATAATGATAATAATGCAGCAGGCTCTATTCCTTCTCTCCCGAGGGGAACCAACACTCCCAGAAGATGGAAACACACATACACTCGTTTACATACAGGAAGGGAAGCGTTCACACACACATAAATACACACCAGAAAGTTGTTAATGAAAACGTGCCCTATCTTCTAACCGCTTCTCAGTCGCAACTCTCTTTTTCTCCCCTTTACCCACCGCTCTGCAACCTGCTTGGCTTCGGGCTGCGTTCACACGTGCAGCTTCCTTCCTACCGCACCTGAACAGGGCGCCCTCAAGCGACGCCTGCTGTGTGTGAATGGGCGGGGTGGGGTAGGCACGAACCTTTCCCTCCGCCCCACCACACCACACGGTTACTGAGGTGCCAACTTGAATAAAATATTGTGGGGGCCCAGGTAAGCCCCGCCCTGCATAATCGATCACATGATGCAGTGCACACACACACTATTTGAATGGAAATGTCCATCAACTTTGTTGCCTCAAATATTTTATTGCGGGGGCCGAAGCCCCCCAAGGCCTCTAGGAGTTGGCTCCTGTGCACGGTTACATTTTTCCTGGCCCTTCTAGCCCCCAGGCTTCACCAGGGAGCTGCTTCAGTCGCGCGCTCCTTGAGGGCAGAAAACAGCCAGCAAGGTGAAGCGTTTCACATGCCGGCTCCGCTGCGCTACGAGGCTTTGGACAGCCAGTTGTGGCCAGGCAGAGCGCCTGCCTGCACGGAATCTCCAGGCAGAGTCAGAGGAATCTCATTTTGTAACCCTGGGGAGCCGCTGCCAGTCAGTGTAAACAATTCTGAGCTAGGTGGGTAAGCGGGCTGACAGTATGAGGCAGATTCCTATGTTCCATTGAGAAACAATGTACATTAGCATCTAAAGAGGATGGGTAGGCTGGAGGACCATTAAATCCAGGGTCTAAAATTACCTAACTGCACCACTGATTTAAGTTATAACTAATCTACACTATGTGAGTGAATTGGCCATTTGAGAGGAAAAAGAATTAAGCTTGCCTGGGTATTTCTCTCTCTCTCTCTCTCTCTCTCTCTCTCTCTCTCTCACACACACACACACACACACACACTACAAAAATTTGTTTAATTTTCTTCCTTTTCTTCCTTCAAAGAACTCAGGGCAGTGTCTATGGTTCTCCTCATCTCACTCACCCATTTCATTCTCACAAGAACCCTTCAAGGTAGAGCAGGTTAAAAATGAGTGGCTGTCCACTGCAGTAGTTAGAGGTTTGGACTGGGACCTGGGAAACTAGGGTTCAAATTCCCCACTCAGACATGAAGCTCGCTGTGTGATCTTGGGCCAGGCACTGGCTCTCAGACTAACCTACCTCACAGGGTTGTTGTGGGGATTAACTGAGGAAAGGTGGACAGACAACATACACCTCCTTGAACTCCTTGAAGAAAAAGGTGGGATAGAATTGCAATAAATGAAATGAATGAATGTCCCCGCACAAATGCTATTCAGAGGTGGATTGCTCCTGCACATGGAGGTTTCACTACCCCCGATGTGGCCCATAAGAACCTAAGAGCCTCATTCAATCCACCTTGGGCCAGGACACTTGTTTTTCACAGTGGCCAATCAGATGTGTTTTGGGAAGTTTGCAAGCAAGGCATGGAGGCAACACAAGCTTCCCTGGGTTTTCCCCAAGTACCTGGTAGACTGCCCCTGGATCTACAGTAGAGTTTCATTTTACTGTAACCATTGCAGAGCTGCATGCACATTGCACAGGATAGGGTGAGATTTAAATTATTTCAGATAATAATAGTGGAAAGGTTGGTTGTTGAGGGACAAGCTGTCTCTGAGGGGCATTTTCTGCCATTAATTATTGTCTCATTGAGGAAAACTCAAATAAATTTCCGCAGGACCATCTTGAAAACTGCTGCCCTAGAAAGACGAAAAGAAAGATTTATGTGTGTAGCTTCTGGGTGTGATTTCCATTAGAAAAATGCATGTTCCTGGACTGCCAGAACATGTCAAGAAATTGCCACTTAATCAACTTGCATTAGCCACTTAATCAACTTGAATTACTTCCATTAATCAGAGGGTCTCCTCCAGCAATACTAAAGTAAGGAAGGCATTCCTCATGTAAAATATTTTTATAACACTTCTCATTCAAATAATACATCCCAAAAAAACTCAGTATAAAAAGAACAACAATAAGTATAATCCTGCAACCTGTATAGATCATGCAAACATGCCTGTTCTCTCCTGTTTTGCATGATCTTTTTTAAAAACACACATACCATATGTTGCATAATCTAGCACAGGCTTCCTCAACCTCGGCCCTCCAGATGTTTGAGACTACAATTCCCATCACCCCTGACCATTGGTCCTTCTAGCTAGGGATCATGGGAATTGTAGTCTCAAAACATCTGGAGGGCTGAGGTTGAGGAAGCCCGATCTAGCATGGTTTCGCTGGCCATAGGGCAAAGTAATACGTTTAGTGTGGAGAACCTATGGACTTACAGATGTTGCTGGATGATAACTCCCATCATCTCTGGTCATTGGCCATACTTGCTGGGGCTGATGGGAACTGCAGTCCAGCAACAACAGGAGGGCCAATGGCTCTCCATTCCTGCTACATTTGACTAGGAGGTCTCTCTCCCCCCCCAACCACTGAGAAAAACTTGCCTCAGCCACCCAGACTGCTTTTGTGATGACTCTAAGCTTTGCCTTTGCATTTCTTGCACCCACAAGGACTAGAAACTTGGTGCTGGTTTTGTTCAAAAAGCCAGTAAGCTGGATTCTGAGGCCAATGCAACATTTTATGCTTTCACAGTACTTCTGCAGAGCTGCACCATGTCCTGACTATTCACGGCAGGTACGTTTTGGCTATTGCATCACTTACTCACGGGCTCACTTGTTCGTTTTTCTTCCTAATGCAATGGGGTGAGGATAAAAGAATGCGTTCCAATCTCAGCCTTGGCAGGCAGGTATGAGTTTCTTAATTGGCAGCAGATTTCAGCACTGTCAATCAAGTTAAGCTTCCTGCTCCTTCTGACCAGAACCTGTTTTCTTTCCCACCTGCATTCCCTGACCCCTCCCCCAAAGAAAAAAAATAGCAATCTGATTCTGCCAGGATTTGACACTGCATAGATGGCTGCAGATTGGGGGGGGGGTTCTCCATGCAGAGCTCAGCAAACTCCAGAAAACAAGTGTCTGTGGCAAAGGACTCCCCCAGCTAAACTGAAGTAGCAGAAGGGAGCTCCTTCTCTGAGGAAAGGAGCCTTGGCAGCAGTGCTGGCCCAACCATGAAACATGATGAAGCAGTCTCCTCATGTGGAGATCTAGCCTCTAAGGCATATCCTCATTGCTGCTGTCTGTCTCTCCCCAGCCTCCTTTTATCCCCACACTGCCTTCAGTGTGTTTGTGTGTGGGGAGGGAGGTTGGAAGGGGAGCAGAGAAGGAGGCAGTGGAGGGTGGCATTTTCTGTTTTACCCCAATCTATAAAATGTCTGGGCAGCCTGCCTCTGAGCTGAGCTGTGGAAGCTTTGCCCAGGAGGGTGGATGGAACACTGCCCCACCAACCTCAGTTTGCCCTCAGCCAGCTACAACTTCCGTTCCTCCTACAACTAGTCAAGGAGGGTGGTCCTGCCTAACAACTGGCTCCTCCTTAGTCTTAGCATTGGCGCTTGCAGAACTCAGCAAGGAGGAGGAGGAGGAGGGCAAAAAGAGAATTAGCTGGCTCTACTTGTCACTGGCTTTTGACATTGGATCTGGAGCCACTTACTGTGGGATGTAAACACAGGAGCAGTCAATGACAACATTCCTAGAGTGTACATGTTAGAACATGGTGGGGATGTCTGTCCAGCAAGCAGGTAAACTTCCTGGGGACGGACTTCCTCCACATGTGACTAGAGGTGGGTGTGGCCTCACCTGTGCAGGTGATGACAAAAAGCACAGGGCAGGCAGCCATCTCTCTCTCTCTGCCATTTTCTTTCGACGAGGAAACACCTAAGGATGCCCTCTTGGCTCCCAGCCAAGAGAGGAGATAAGGCCTATCTTGCTATGAGATAGATTCTAAATCTATGTAACCTTTTTAAGCTGTGCCTTCTGGGATCACATTGTGAACAGGACGTGAGTAAACTCTTTTATACTTTTATGAAGACTGTGTCGTGTCTTGTATTTTTAGAGGGAACTAAAGGGGAAATTACCAGGGTAATTATTATAGAGGTTCTAGCGAACCTGTGCACACGTTACCGTTGCGTACTAAAGGGGAATGTATGTAAACTCTGCTGATATTTTTGGGAACTTGTTAGCACAAGTTGGATCAGGATATAATTAGTCAATATATCCTTTCCTGCACCCCAGAACATTCCCACAAAGGGTTATGGGCCCAGTATTGCATATTTCTGCGTATTTTTGGAGGATTGCATTGGATTGTGATTTTGAGTTGAGTAGTATTTTTCTGAGTTAACTTCCTGGTAAGCACATGGTCCTTTGTTCCATTGTGCAGTGGGGATTAAGCAACCCACCCCCTTCCCTCAGAGTTCACAGTGAC